CTCTCTCTCTCTCTCTCTCTCTCCCTCTCTCTCTCTTTATAACGTTAATTTAGCCGTTTTCCCGCGAAAATCATTTCATTTTGCCACTCCTCTCTCTCTCTCTCTCTCTCTCCTTTTCTTATCTTACATTAAAAAAACTCTCTCTCTCCCTCTCTATTTTCTCTTAATATCGTAAAAATTCATTAAGTTATTAAAAACATCTAACAAAAAAAATTGAAAAAGAAAGATTCACTTGGAGTCTCCCCAACAATGTATCAAAAATAAATCTACGTTTTCAGACTCGTTTTCCTCTTTCATTCTATTTTCGATTTTTTATCATTTTCTCTGTTCTTCTTTACTCGTGTGCTAATTCAGCGCTTCATCCTTGCGCGATGCAGCAGAAAAGAAGAAGACTCGTATTCTCGTCGCCCATTCGGCGTTAGATATGTGATCTACCTGATCCTCACTTCTTTCGAGCCGTTAAGTTTAGTTTTTACATTCAACAAAATGTCGATTATATTTAATCTCCATTTATATAAGATTCTTGTTTCATCTAAGCTTTAGAACTAGAAACAGGGATAAACATTCAATCGAGTCTACGAGCTTCTATATATCCACTTTTATAAACACGAGTTAAAGTTGATCGAGGTTAAAAATCAAAATAAGGTTTCAAGATTTTTCTTTCCAACAAAAGAGACAGAGTTGAAAAAGACATAATATCATGAAATTAATCCGGTCCTTGGTTTTTTTTTCGGAAAAAGCCGAGAATTTAATTTCTAGAGTATGCGCGAACAAATTTTTTCGCGGTTTAATTATTAAGTTTAAATCTTGAGATTTTAACTTCGATTTTTACCTTCTCAATGTAAAAACAAAGAACTTTATATATAAACTATAGTTGGCGTCAACCAATATTTACGGAGATCATTTTTTGATATCAAAGAAAAATTTTTCTCTAAATTTAAAGTCTAGAAAAAACAAAAATTATATAAATGATTAAAGTTAACTAATATCTTTATGGTTTTTAGAATAAATGTTATTGACTCGAAAAATGTAGATTAATTAATCATTATTTAATGATTAACATAAAAAAAAAATACGCGACAAAGCAATTCGTATTTTCCTCTCTCGCAAAGTATTTTGTTCTTATCGATTAACGCGAAATAATATTCACATACTCCAGAGTTTCAATTTTCAACATTTTCAGAAAAAAAATAAGGAAAAGGAATAAAGACGTTATATCTTCTTTTATCTCTCTTTATCTGTCCCCTTTAAATCTTGATTATCTTATTTATTCTTAACCTCGTGTATCTTTGTACTAAACGCATACCGAACGCCGAGAGTGTAAATCGACGAGCCCGTGAGGCTCGTCGTGTCGCCAGACGTGAACCTCCGATGGGGGTTCACATGCTGATACCGGTGTCGCCTCGGTTGCGCGCCGATGAGCTCGATAATCACCGATCAATCATGAAAAGTAAGTCTCGCATTTCTGCTGGATAAATTCGAGAGGTAATTAACGATCGAGATATTCATGAAAGAGAATAAAATCGGTCGTTCTCGTCAAGTTTGTGCGAATCTTTGAGAACGATCGGGCTCCGATCGGCGCAAAACCGTGCGCCGTGATTGATTAGTCCGTTGTATTAGTTGAATTTCCTTGGTCATGCTTAACGACCGCTCTGCAGGGTCGGTTTTCTCAACTCCGAATCTGATTTGATTCATCGCGTTCCCCGTCTTGCTGCCTCCGCCTCATCTACCTGCCGCGCGATCGATCGTCTGGAACCTCTCTCTCATTTTTCCTCTCTGCCTCTTTCTCTTTCTCTTCCCCATATCGCTCTAAAAGCATCACTTATAGGAATGTCTTCAGAACTCGATACAGCGACTGTGACGCGTACTCGGTCATTAATATACCGAGCTAGAGCAAGGCTCGAGGTTGTTTTTAATAATGCAACATCACTGTTGGAGAACGCGAAATTGCGTCTCGGTTTCTTTTTTTTTTCTTCCTTTCGTTTCGGCCTCGCCGAGCGTCTTCGCGTTATCCTCGGATTATCCTCGTTTCCGAAAGGAATCTCTTGGCTCTGTGCAACGGGATAATAATGGCCGATTATACGCGCTGCGAGTCGCGATATCGATGCGAGATCGAGATTATTGCGCTCCGCGGTTCTCCGCGCCCCGGCCGGATCCTGCGCGCCTCTAACAGCTATAATTTGCAAAAATTACGGGGTTCGCAGGCTCGTCGGAAGACGCCTCGCGGAGGCTCCGTCTCGACGCTCGTCTCGGCGACACACCATCCGCGGCGAGAGTAAATGTCGCGATCAAACGTCGCGACACCTCGCTCTCTCATATCATTCCTCTACTTTCCTTTTCTTCTCTTCCATCTCTTGCCTATCTCGCGTTAAGACTGATTCTTCCTTACTCTTTCCATCTTCTTTCCTCGCCGTTAACTTCTCTAATCAGTAATCAAATTACTTATTAATTAATAATTATTATTCAACACACGCACACTCACACATTATTACATTCATGGTAAAAGTAAAAATCCCTGAAAAGTTTTGTCTGTTCACTTTTTGTTCCTTATGTCCCCTCCTTCGCTCGCCGTCTGTCTCTCTTTTGCTTCCCTTGTATTTCTCTATCTTTATCTCTTTCTTTCTCTTTCACTCGCTGTTCTTCGTTGCGTACCGACTAGTCGCTTTTTCATTCTCTCCGTGTGTCTGAGAGACGTTCTTTGAAAACATGGCATAAAATGGTATCCGTGTCGTATCAATATAGTATTACATGATCGAACTTTCGTCTCTTCTTTCCCTTTTCGTTCTTCCTTCTTTCTTCTTCATCATCATCAATCACTCGTGTCAGCGACTCGATGTCTCGTCGACGTTGTTTTCGACGTCTGATGATTACTCGTCGGTTTCCCCTCTCACATTCACGTATCTGATCCCTCTTTCTTTCTTTCTCTTCCTTTCGTGGCTCTTGATGAGGAACTTGAGACGAATAGAGCGTACACGACGCATTTCACTTCACTAATACGAAATAACTCATAGTCGCTTCTTTGGTATTACGTGCGAGGAGGGGCGGGTTGGGGCGCGGGGGTCGCTTCTATTCTCTTCTCCTCCTGAGACATCCTGGCTTATGTCTACGACCGTCAACGGATCTCCGTTCCGCGATACACGGTCTCGGTATTATTTAAGTCTCGTATATTATTATTCAACGTCTCTGAATTGTGTGTATAAAAGAACTGTATCTAATCTGTGTTTTTTGTTGCTTTCTTCTTTTTTTTTTTAAGAAAAACCGCTTTCCTCCTGTAGTACTAGTAAGAAGTAAGTAAATAGCATATAGTGATAATAGTATTAGGTAGGTAGTAGGTAGTAATAATAGTAATAGTTGCAGTAGTAGTAACAGATATAACATAATATGTAATTGTCACTTAACTTCTCTGTATATTATTAATAACTTTAATATTAGATAGACTTTTTCTTTTTTTTTTTAGATTAATCGGTTTATCGCTTCTCCCGCGCGTTTCACTTTCCTTTATCGTATTAAATCTTTAACCGTAATGCAATGAGGTAATAAGGTTGTGTGTGTTTTTCTTTTTTTTCTATTTTTTTTTTAAATCAGTTTGTTTCTCGTCGAAGTGTCCTATTTCATCGGCGGCGGTGGTTTCGTTAGCGCTGCGAAATTGGGTCGTGCGCGGCTGTGTGTTGTCGCTTCGTCGCTATCGCGGGGGTGTGCACGCGGGACGCAGGCGCGACGCGTAGAGCAAAGGGGAAAACGCCACGATCCTCGTCAACGAGGATGGGAGTTCGTCGTGAGAGTCAGCGATCGCGTATAGGCAGTGTCTACCTGGACAAAGCCAGATTCGATAACATATGTTCGGTGCTCCTCCGATCGATCGCGGCTTCGCCTTTGCTTCGCCTACCATTGCCGAGCTTTGCGTTTAAGTTGTGATTCAAGAATCGCAATCGTTTCAACCGAATACCAATGCGATTGATCACAATATGTGTATCCCCATTGTCGAAAAGGACACTTAAGACTTTAAATTAATCATTCGCACGTGATTAACATCGATCACGATGAACGCGCCCGTGTCGAACCGAACGGAGGGCCCAAGGCCTCGTTGACTCTTCAGATTGACTCACAACAATCGAGTCTTGGAATTAGAATCTTTGGAATAACAATTCTTCGTTCGAATTCTCAGAATTAACTCGCCGAATTGTGGACTCGCCGAGCACTCTTCTAGAATTCCCGTTGATTCGTCAAGTCAGGACTCGTGAATCATTTATAAAACTGATAACGGGAATTGTTACTACCTCACTGAGTGCGAGAGTCCGCGAACCTAGTTGTTGGATCTCGAGTCGAGTTAATTCTCAGAACATTGCCGGGCGTCTTCCCGTCGCGATCTGCGCGTCGCGCACCCTCGTTCGAAGCCCTCCCTCATCAGGGAGAATCGCGAGCGCCCCGCGAGAGGAGGAGATCGCGATAAGCTCAGCCTCTCGACGAGAGAGAATGTCAAAGCGACGACGAGGCCACTCCGGCGAATGAAGCGGATGGGCGTTTGTGGCGTCGGTCCGCGTCAGGTCGGTGTCATCGATGTTAATGTTACTGCGGCGATGATGGCGG